TATATATATATATAGATATGCACATACATATAAATCGTGGAAATGAAGAAATGTCTTCGACAGGGCTTGGGCCGGACAACACCGCGTCCTTCTCGGTATCGACCTGGCCGATGTGGCGTGGTTCAAGTTGAAGGAGGAGCAATCGTTGCGGGAGCGCGAAAGTAACCGCCCGGCAATCTGTCATGCGCATGCTCCACCAGGAGGAAGAAGGCTTAACGGCCAATGGTTTCTGGCGGACTCCGTCTTCGCGACTCCGCCGCAAGGCCCGCGATTTGTGTCGGACAAGAAGCAACTTCATCCGATTACACGACTGCCGGCGAGTGCGCAGTCGGGCACCTTGTGGAGGAGAACATTATGCAGATCCTCGAGGACGTGGTGGTCATTGACCCTTCAACCCGAAATCCTATAGAACCCTTTTAGATCCCTTAAGGGATCCTAGAAGGGACTCCAATTTGGAGAATTACCCTTGTAGTACCCATTATAGTCATTATAGATCCTTTTTACAGAACCGCTATTTGGAACCCTTCCTTATAGATCCCTCCTAGAAGGGACCCTAAAGGAGTCCATTGCCACAGGGGACCTGCTGGCACAACGGTGGAGGGCTTTGACTGAGCCTCCGACCCGGAGCCAAAAAGAAACTCTAGCCCTAAACCCTAAAGGAACTCTTCAAGTTTCAAGGAACCCAATTCCAACGACGAAGGCCTCTATTGCAGCAGAAGGAACTCTAGACCCAACACCCTAAATCGTTAAAGACCTCCTGACCAGAAACCTTGAGCCTGGAATCGGTTTGGGGGTTTAGACGTTTAGGAGTTTAGGGGTTCAAGGGTTTCGGGATTTCGCGGTTTATGGATTTCCGGGTTTAGGGGTTTAGGATTTGGGATTCAAGGATGGGGTTTGAGGGCTTAGACACGTTAGACCACAAACGCGACGCTTTCGACCTTGCACCCCTGAGATTGAAACCGTCTTCTGGCCCGGTGGCGGGGTCATAGCGATGGGCACGGCTGGGAGACACAGTTCGTTCTTGGGCTTAGGAAGGGCTTAGAAGGCTCGTTTAGGGTTTATTCGGGTCTAGAAGCGCTTTATAACGGGTTTCGGTTAGGTTTAGGGGTTTGCCAGAGGAGGTTGCAAGATCCTTCAATAGAGCAGCACCCCTCATGAGTCAAAGTGGGGGCTACTAAGCACCCTAAACCCCAAACTCTAAACCCAAAACCATTATAGCGCCTCTTGCAGACCCCCGCAAAAGGAACCTTATAAAGGACCCCCATGTGTTAGATATGGGGAGTGTCACGAACGTTACGAGGTTGGACAGCTTGTTCATTTTCGAACGATTTGGGGTTTTAAGCGGCTACGCGGTGAGGGTTTATGAGAATTCAAAGGTTGTGTTGGGGATTTTCGACTGTATTGTGGCGTTCTTTCCGGTTTGGGGCAGGCTTTCAGGTATCGGTTGGATTGGCGTGGTCGGTCGGGGGTCTTCATAGTAGCTGTAGTCCCTGCCGTCTTCTCGGTCACCCTGCAGGATCATCTGGAGGGAAGAGTGCAGGAGCGCGTGAAGAATAGCTAGCGTCCCCTCACCGAGGGTGGACAATAAAAAGAGCCATCAATCGTATAATGCAGGGGTCTGAATAATTACCTATACTATTTTGGGGGTTCCCTATCATAGTTACTTATAGTATAACATACCCCAAAACCCTGATCCAATTATTAAGGCCAGTACGTTAACCTGAATTGTGAACCATAGAAGCCGAACGAGGATGGGAACCCCACCCAAAACCCCAGTTCCCTTAATCTTCAACTTGAAGTCTTCAACCAAGACCCTCAAAGAATCAACCAGCAACGCGGCAAGAGTTCAAGCAGAAGAGAGGTCCCAAACTTCAAAGCAAACAACAACCCACTAAACCTTAACGAAACAGGGAGCATACATACCTACGCCTAAACCTTCCCTAGACCCCTATACCCTAAACTCTCAGCCACTACACCCCTCAACCTAAATCCTTAGACCTTTGCAGAGCCCGAACGAAACTCTATAGAGCCTTCATAGAAAGATGCAAAAAAACCTTAAGCAACCCTAGAAAGCCCTACGAAACTCTGTGGAATCCTGCAAGACGTTTAAAAAATCAAGCTTTGTTACAACCCTACAGCACCCTCTAAAGGGCTCCGTTAAACAGTCCCTTTCAGGGCTCGTCTAGGGGTTCCTAAACCCTAAACCCTA